TGTGTGTGTGTGTGTGTGTGTGTGTGTGTGTGTGTGTGTGTGTGTGTAAAAATACAAAGAAATAGAATTTTCTTCTGTTAATTATTTTAGATATAAATTATAACCGGGGACGTGATCTAAAAGGGTTAAAAGGACATTTTTAATTTGATCTCGACTTCAAAATATAGAAATTGAAAAACATATGTTCCAGTATTCTTAAACTCCTCCACGCTCAGGATAAAAAAAAAGGCACAGTAGCTTCATTGACCGACATAAAATCAGCTCATAAAAGAAGCTAATCTTTTCTATTGTTTTTCACACCTTGCGTTAAAATGTTGGTGACAAACTTTGTCTATAAAAACTCTTTTCTTGGGTCTTTTGTTTTACTCATAGCAAAGTTTTTACAACAAAGATACTTTTACCTTCTCAGTCCGAGAAAAAAGGAGTTAAATTAACTGGGAAAGTAGAAGTTTATTTACAAAGCTTAGACTCTTCCCATTGGCTCACAGACCTAATGGAATAGGCTATTGAGTTGCATTATGGGAAATGTAGGAGCCAACATTTTTTGATGTTTTGCCCACATCTCTGGTTCTGTTGCTCTTTTTTTAAAATGTGTTCTTAATGGAAGTGCAACACTGAACAGCTTGAGTTCCCCTTTAAACTTTAAAAGCACATGAATTTGATACTGAGCGTGGATTAATTGTACGCCTATTGTTTGATCACCAGTTTGTCTAAAGAATTACAAGACCTGACATGATCATAATAACACAGACACACACGCTTAATTATTTCCTCCTTTTCTTTTTTTTTTTTCCTCCTGCAGGTATAAGACATCCTTGTGAGACCAAATTCGACAATCACCTGCAGGACTTGGAGCACAGCAACTACACACTAAACATCCCGCTGATCCCCACCACGCCCGAGGAGATGGAGGACATGTTCAGACTCTGTTCTCATGTTCGCTTTAAAATCCCTCAGCAGGTCAGGGCCTTCATCTCTTCTGAAAAATGAAATGCATCATGAGGATTCACTTTGTCATGTGCACTCACAGTGGATGATAATATCTCACTGCAGTAGTCACTGTCTTGGTTGCTGCTGTTTTACACATGTTGCTGTCATTGTTAGATTCTTCAAGGGCTGGTAGATGTTCGACAGCCTCACAACACATTTTACGAAGAAGGTTGGTTCACACACTTTTTTTTAAAAGGATTTGCAGGATAGTTCATACAGTAAATGTGTTTCTTTCTTATTTATTTATTAGTATTCATGGAGATTGTTGGTGAGACATCGAGATACGCCTTACAGGAGCACTTACATCTGATCGCGGCTCCTTTACAAGTGATATGGGGCAAAAAGGACCAGGTAAGGTATGATGATCCAGTGACTCAGCAAGGCCTATAATTAAATAAGTGGCAGCTTTTGCTTCTAAATTAATCCTAAAAATGCATGTGGCTGTGTACAAAACTTGGTGGCTCAGGTTTTTGGTGCTCCAGGTCCACATGATAACTGTATGGTCCCCCGTGTTTGTCCAAGGTGGTGGACGTCTCTGGAGCCGCAGTCATTGCAGAGGTGTTGCCTGGATGCAGAGTGGACCTGCTGGAGAACTGTGGACACTCCGTGGTGATGGAGAGGCCCTGTCGGACAGCCAAACTCATCCTGGAGTTCATCATCTTGCAGCAAGGGGCCAGGGGGGGGCGCGAAGAAAGCCTCCTGAGCTAACTAAAGACTAATGAACATGACATGCACGTGTAAACAGACGTCTAAGCTGTGACATGTGACAGAAAGCAAGATTTTTTTTTTTTATAGTGTTTTGCATTTCTTAGAAAATGCATTGCATTGTATGGTAACCTGCAACATGATAATAAAAGCCCCATGCATTTCATCTGTACTGGATGTGTGTGAGTGTATTCATGCAGAGGTGTCTGTGGTTGCAGCAGGACCGCCTCTCCCCTCCTTCATAAAAAACTCCTTGTGTGCGCAGTTTTGCTGCAGCCCGGAGTCGAGCACAGCTGCCAACATCTCTGACGGTAACGTTAAATACCAAACCGCACATCGTTTCTACAACAACAACAACAACAACAACAACAAAAGAGTAATAGGCACAAAAACGCGCCGGTAAGGCTTTTATTTTGACGTCTCTGTTACTTCCAGCTGGGCTGATTTAAGATCCTCGCGCGTGAGTAGTAATGGCTCGTGGACTGCTAACGTTAGCCGTGTTAGCTCGCTAGCAGGCAACTAGCTAGCGAGCTAACACGATAAACTCCATTTTCCCACTGTGGTACTCGCTTTTTATTCAACGCTACATATCTCAGTGCATCCTCACTGGACTCAGCTCATTAGCAGCATATATATATTTTAAAAACATATTTAAAAATATATATTTTACTTCCTTGCGAAATCTGCTCGTTAGCCAGCTTCCTTCTTTTTATCATAGCAGAAAGAGTGGAATGTATAACTGTTGGATAGCTACTTTAGTTTTTTCCCATTAACGTTAATTATCAAAAACGTTAGCTGGCTTCACTAGCATTCTCTAGTTAACGTTAGATAGTTATTATTAGATAATTTAGTTACTTAGTGGGTTTATTGTGTCTTACGTAACGTCAGATTTCAGTTTCAATTCAGTAGAAATATTATACATTTATTCCTGAGCACTTTTAGTTGATTATACTTGCATTCATTTACTTAAAGATAGGTTTTAGTTGATTATACTTGCATTCATTTACTTAAAGATAGGTTTTAGTTGATTATACTTGCATACTTTTACTTACAGAGAGGTTTTAGCTTAGTTGATTATACTTGCGACCAAAATGATGATGAATATCATGTATTATGATCTCAAACGGCTACTGAATGGACCTTTAGTCAAATGCAGAATGTACACTGTACATGTGTCCAGATGCAAATATCTTGCATACATTATGCTCATTTAAACCACAAAGTAAGCACCTTCTTCTACAACAGATGGGTAGATCATTACTCATGTAATACAACACACACGCTCACACACACACAGGCACAGGGAGGCTCTACTGGTAAAAACACATGATTTGACTTTAAGTCTACATGATTGTGTCGATCATATTCTGCATAACTGTGTTACAGCTCATGTTAATGTGACTGTTTTTTCACAGGTGAAATTGAGTTAAGCCAAAGCGTATCTGTTCCCTCTCTATTTTGGTTGTGACCAAGTGGGTATTGTTCTACAAATGGATAATGGAGACTGGGGCCATAGGGTAAGAGATGGACAGCAGACAGACTAGAATAAGAGCAATTTATTTCTGACACTGTTGATGTTAAATTTACATTTAACCAGTTTACGTTTAGCATCTAAAATGAATGCAGTCTAATAACTTCCCTACTTTCATGAAGGTTGTAATGTTTGGATTTTATCAAAACTGCTTTAGAGAGGTGTCTATTCAACCGTCTGATCGTTCTGGAGGCTGTAGTTTGCGGTGCTGTTGAATCATATTGCGTTACACTGAAAGGTGTTTCTTTTCACTATAATGTGATATTATTCAACACCACAAACTAGCTGATTTATTGCAGAACTTCTGTATCAGACTCAATTGATCTTAGCTAGGTTGACAGCTGAAATCCACACTATTCATGTCATTCACCTACAACTGCAGGATGCAAATGCTCATTTTAAACTTCACAGAAACATATTTCTTATCATCTTCCCGTATCTTTTTTTTTGCCCTAGATGAGTTCTCCCGTTACCTTGAACGTGGGAGGCCGCCTGTACACCACCAGTTTATCCACCCTGCAGCGCTATCCGGACTCCATGCTGGGCGCCATGTTCCGGGGAGATTTCCCCACAACTCGCGATTCCCAGGGGAATTATTTCATCGATCGCGACGGGACGCTTTTCCGGTACATCTTGAACTTCCTGCGGACGTCCGAGCTCATCCTCCCCTTGGACTTCACAGAGACAGACCTCCTGAGGAAAGAGGCGGACTTCTACCAGATCGAACCTCTGATCCTGTGCCTCAATGACCCCAAGCCGCTGTACCCTCCCGACATCTTTGAGCAAGTCGTGGAGCTCTCCAGCACCCGGAAACTGTCGAAATATTCAAACCCGGTGGCTGTTATCATCACGCAGCTAACCATAACCACGAAGGTTCACGGTCTGCTGGAAGGTATTTCCAACAACTTCACCAAGTGGAGCAAACACATGATGGACACCAGAGACTGCCAGGTGTCGTTCACCTTCGGACCGTGTGACTATCACCAAGAGGTGGCCCTAAGGGTTCACCTCATGGACTACATCATGAAACAAGGCTTCACCATCCGCAACACGCGCGTGCACCACATGAGCGAGCGAGCGAACGAGAACACGGTGGAGCATCACTGGACTTTCTGCAGACCGGCTCACAAAGTCGAGGACTGAATCCCAGCGGAGGCGTTGCTCACAACTGTTTGATTTGTCTCCATGTTACACGAGTCACGATCACAAAAATAACTCGTTTTGATAATGTGTCAATAATAATGTTTTTCTTTCTTGTATGATAAATGTGGCTCAAAGTCCAGACAGAAACCATAAAAACAATGAAAATGTGAATTCTTGATTTGTTCACCTGTTGGAGTGCAAGAACACTTTATCTGTGCTCCCACTACTTATATAACATTTCTAGAGAAATTAATTCTTGGGGTTTATGTCTACAAAACAAAAAACACAATTCTTATGAAGCAGAAAGACCCGATAACAATGATTCTATTACAATTGTATTTATTTAGAAACACTTTTACCCAAACGATGCTAAAAATGTGGGTATGTTGATTCTTTTTAGGAGTATTTTCCGATTTAATGTGGTTCCAATACCTGCATCTGTTTATTTCAATGATAAAGGGAATGTAAACAGGTAGCCGTGGTGTAAGACTCTTTGCCTACACACAGTAGCAGATCGAAGTCTTAATTTGCATTAATGTGCGATTAGATCTCAATTTGAGGGGGAAAGAGAACAATTTGCTGTCTTGGTCGTGTTTTGGACGACAGACACTGAACAGAGAACTTATTTGGATTGTCTAGTCGTGAAGGGTTTTCAATAATAATAATAATAATAATGTATGATTATCTTTTGCCCAATTTCCAGTAGATCTTAAATTTAGTCTCTTAGCTCTCTTCTCTCCTTGTACGCTACTATTCCTGAAGACCCTCGTCGTCGTCGCATGTGTCTTGTGTATATATATATTTGTGCGCTCTGCAGTATTGCATCATACTGTTACCATTTAGAGCTCATCGCAACAGTAATGTTTGATCATTCCAGTCAAAATAAACCCATTTGTGCATTCGTCAGTCATTAGTTTTGTTTTATGGTTGAACTTGGACTTCTTATGAAGTAGCCTGTGTGAGAAGTTATCAGCCATTTTGATCAGCATTCGAGCAATGTGGCATTAATTTAAAAAATGTTTTTACAAAATGTTCCTGCCAAGTTACATTCATAATTGTGATACAAGTGGAGAGCTGTAGGCCAGTTGGCCCTCATGTTCACTATTTTTCTGCTGTAAAGCACAGATAAAGATGGCAGCTAATGTCCTCACTAACACTTTCCTGTTAGAAAAGTTAATTTCTAAACTGAATGCTAGGAACGCATTTCTTTAGTAATTGCATTTCTATCCAGTGACCTGTTTCGTAGATTATTTATTGAATCCCTTTAGGAAACATGAACTTTACTTAAAATAATCTGCTATATTTATTTGTGTTTAAGATACTACACATTGTGAAGTCCAATGTCCAATTTTATTATTTTTTAAATAAGAAAAAATTACAAAAGATCTCATCTTCCATATAAATGCCAAGGTAATGTTATGTTAATAAGTACTAGACCAAGTCAGAAACGGGTGAACAAAAAACAGAAATTAGGTGTAAATTTCAGCAAATTCAATACATAGATTTAAACTCGCATCCATACTCAGTGATAGGCTGAACATCATAGACCCCAAAAGCTTTAAAAGATCACTGTCACACTATTTAAGATTCACCATTGTACCATTGGTCATTTATTTATTCAAACAAACCTAACATGTTTGTGTCATTGCAATTATCATAATTATATATATATATATATTTTATATAATATATAGGTTACTTTGCATAAAAGGGCAGACTGCCACTGGAAACCCTTTTATTTTGTATTCATGACTTTATAAAACAAACTTGAGCTGTGTTTAAAACTATTTTTGTATTTAATTTAAAAACAAATACATTTTGATTTTATTTTTTATCTTATTTTGTTTGTATTTCCGTGTTTTAATGACGCATAACACAACCGGATGTGACGACTCTTCCTGGATGCGTTCGGTTTGTACTCCGACGTCGAGCTGCCGTTGGCTCGTGTCTAGATTCTAAGATTCTAGACATTTCCGCTCGTTTGCTTTACTCCGGGTCACAAAACGAGCGCACCCATCCTCGCGGCCAACGCTCTTGTAACAAGTAGAAAGGACACGTTTCCCTGCAGCACTGTAGGCTGTTTAATATCGATTTACGATGTTTAGAAAGAGTGATAAAGTAAAATATCTACTGAGCCTTGTTCCGGGCAAACAACGCCTCGGGACGTACAGGTTCCTCCCCGTCTTCTTCTGCATCGGAGGCGTTATGGAGTGGATCATGATCAACGTGAGGATAGGAAAAGAGACTTTCTGTGAGTATACATGCACACATTGAGTTTGTTTTTCGACAGTTTAACTTCAGTTTTTTCACTTGAACAGTTGGCACGTTGCTTGTTTCAGTACCTCACTGTTTACTGTGGGCCTCCTGTTAGGACTGTGCTTTGTGGACAGATTTAGGACCCACAACAACCCTTGTTGACCTTTTTAAAATATGTCCTCAAGCCTCCCTCTCCTCCTCTCACTACTAATAGGAAATGTGGAAAAAAGATGGCCTTTTTAAGGACACAGTACAGGTCAGGGAGCTGCATGCACAGCTGCTGACACATAGAAATACATGTCACAATATATCTTGACTTGGTACCTCAGTATCGATTAAATGATATTTCTTGGTGTGATTTCCATTCAACACAAACTACCTGTGGCTGATGGTGGTCTCAAACTAGCAGGTTATCAGTGTGAGTTTATATAATCAGCCCCTAATGCAGACTTTAATACCAGGAGAAGACAGCATACTGCACATCATTGTAATATGACCAGTGGTGGAAGAAATACTACAATTCTAAAGTACCCTTCCTTTTAAAATGCTACATAAGTACAAGGGTGTAGATTTGGCTTCACTATTGGTGGGGGACACATTAAGTGGGGGTTCTGCTGGTCCTCCCGCTGTCCTTTCCTGCATTCTGGTGAATTTTTCTGCATCAATTTATGGTGGAAACAAAAAGTCTTTATTTCTGTAAAGGAAATCACTAATTTCAGGCCTAAAAATATAAACGTATAATGGAACATGGTGCTGTAAGGCTCTCTGGCATTCTGTGTTGCTTTCAAATATTTATTCTCCTGTAGATCAACTTTTCTCATTGAGTGTTATTTCTGCTGAGTCAGCACATATGTAGGCATGATGTAGTCATCTTTTTTTGTGTCTTTGACCTCTTTAAATGTGCATGTGGCACCTATTCATTTTAAAATCATTTTTATTAATTCATAAACTTATGGACTTTAGTTGCTCATATGTGTTTCAGCAAAATTTCTGCTCATCTTCAAAACTTTCTTCACATTCAAAACACATCACATTTCTCTGGGGGGAAAAAACGATTGGGATTTCAAAATAAAGTGCTGTAATTCGTAGATATCCCAGAAAAAACATTTTGTGTGTTATCCGCCAAATCATGAATGAGGAAGTAAGAAAGGCCACACAGGGTGGGAGGAAGACGAGGTGGATGGGTCCAACAATTACCGATGTTTGACCCAAGAGACGGCTGTTTGCTGCCCAATATGAACGGTGATTTATGTTTCATGTACTTCAGTAACGACACTGCTGAAGTTATTGTAAACCAAACCACAATCTTTTCCTAAATCGACGTAGTTTTGTCGCCTTAACCTAACAAAGCATTTGACGATCTCTTCCTAAACCTAAGTTAGTTATGTTGCCTAAACCTAACAAAGTATTTGACTGATTTGTATTCTGTGAAGACGAAACTTTATTTTGAAAAGACTGTATTCATGTAACGAGCAGAAGTTAACACAAGTTGCTGACTTTCGTAGGAAAACGTACGAAAAATAAGGAGTAACTTTTCGTACACTTAGTCCAATATTTACCCCTGAAATGTAGTGGAGTAGAAGTACTATAAAGCAGCATGAAAGGTAAAGTATAAGTACCTCAAACGTAGTACTTTGGGACAGTACTTGAATAAATCAACTTTCCACCACTGCACATATCTGTTGTTATTGCTCTTGTGTGAAGCTACACCTGTAGAGAGTCAATTTAAAAAGCTGCTCTCACTGAACCCCGTAACCATTTATTCCAGATGTGGCACTTCAGGAGAACTAGATCCTCTCGTGTTAAAAACAAAACAAATGAGAAAAAGCTGCCGTGCATATTTGATCCTGTAGTATTCTGAGGCCATTCAGGGACACAGGAAATTGTTTTCCTCTTCAGAGAAATGGACGTCATTCCTCTGCTTGTTTGTGTTAGAACTGCTTCCTTACTGCATATATGTTGCAGTTGCAAACTCTCTTTTATTCTTCTTTTCAATATCATAACTGAATTGCAGCTGTTTTGGTTTTCCGTGTCCTGGTATAAACCTTCTTCACTGAAGACATTCAGATTTGTCATTGCTTGAAAGAACATGGCTCAGCTCCATTAAGTGCACCCTTTGAACTAGCTCACCTAAATGGTATGCAGTCATTATTAATATTATTGATCACTTCCTGCAGCTTTAACAGCATCAGACCTGTATTTCAAGTGTCCCATTCAGTCTTTTACTTCTTTTCCAGATGATGTCTACCGAAGGAAACGATCAGAGCGGGATTACCAGCAGAAGATAGCAGATGGTTTGGTTCTTAATGAGCCTGCAGCCAAGTGAGCGATGGTGGGACTTAATGTGGACTAAGGACACCTTCTTGGACTCTCTGACTTGTTTCCTACAGGCTGGACTGTACTTCATAGCATGTCGCAACAACTGTATCACAGTTATGAAGGAGTCAAGAGTGTAAGGCTGATGGAGAAGCATGCAAGTTTATCTTTAATAAGAACTATTAGCAGTAATAATCATCTCAACAATGGTCTCATATCGACATGTTCATATCATAGCACATGCCGAGACAAAACCGTCTCAACTAAATTGCAACAAAATAAAAGATACAGAAATGAGTCTTTGTATGTAGAGACATCACAATCTGCCAGTATCTGTGCAACATCATCTAAGATAAGAAACAATCCTTGTTTAAATATTGTTTTTCTGTAATGATATGACTTCTGTCTGCTTCTAAGAGATCGTACACTGTACACTAGAGTTGACTACATTAAATGTAACATAAGAACTACACTTTGTGACTGGTTTACCTCCGTCAAAAGCATGCTCTGGGTTACTTTCAGTTGTACCATCCGATAGGGAGCGACTGCAGACAGATGAAGCTGTTGGGGTGCTCGGACAGCATGACGGGGTTCCCGTCCAGTCTCACCTCGTCCATGTTGGTGCGGATGTAGTGGCTGGTGTTGCCTTTGCAGAACGTCTCGTCTGTTATTGTGGAGATCTTGTTGTTCTGCAGAACAAACACACAGGACAGCTAGGATAGCTACAACCGCTGGCTTTCTTCTGACGGGTACAAAACAGAATCAACTTTCTTCCCCAGAGCGTCTGTGAGTCACATGTGAACTTACATGCAGGTGAACGACGTGCAGAGACTCTGGAAGTTGGGGCACTGCTGCCAGTTCATTGTTTCCAAGGTAGAGATATGTCAGCCTGGTGAGTTTCTGCAACAACAAAGCTGCTTATTGGCATAAGCAGTGGCTATATACAGTATATATATATATATATACACACTGTATTCTAAGACGGCAACAAAAACACAACAAGTGAAACATTTTGGCCCTTTTAACAAACATAATTAAAAATTAAACAAATACAAATATGAATTCATAATTAAATCTTAAACCCTTGTCTAAATGACATTATATTTTATATTTATCTATCCTGCGCTTTCACACATGAAATTCCAAGAATATATTCGGGTATTGAAATACATGTCTCACTCTCTCACGGGGGGGTTTCTACTCTCACCAAGCTGTAGGTTTTATTTCTTCCACCATTAATTACAGTTCATACAACAACGGTCCCTGAAATGCTTTTTCTTTATTATTCTGGTGAGAGGGCCGCTTGTTGTATCAAACATCCAAACGCATGCAAAGTGCATCATGTCTGCAGACTTACTTTAAACGCGGTCGCCTTCACACCCTGGGTTCTGAGCCGGTTGAAATTGGCGTTGAACGACACCAGCTTGCCGGGCAGCACGGGGAGTTTAGTCAGTCTGTTCTCTGCCAGAGTGAGCTCCTCGAGATGTGGAAGTTTAGAAAAGGCTCCGTCTTCTATCTCAGAGATGAGATTCCCGGTTAGGTCGATTCTTTTTATTGTGGCTGAGGGACAAAACAAAGGAAGTGAGCTTGAAAGATGACATTCACTGAAGACTAAACTATCACAATGACTTGTATTCACCCATGTTTGCAAAGTCTTGGTTTCTGATTTTTCTGATTTTGTTGAAACGTGCGTAGAGATACGCCGTTTCCTTTGGCAGCGCCGGGACGGCCGACATTTCCGGGGTCACCTCCTCACAGTAAACGGACCCGCTCAGGCAAACACACAGCAGGCAAGTCGGCAGCTCTGGAAACATCACAATGTTTTCATCATCACCTTTTGGACAGAAAACGATGTGACAGTGCAGCTTAAAACTACACCAGAGAGTTTATATGAGGACACTTAATCGGCCCCGTTATTACATAATATGGGGCTTTAGCTACATTCACAAAAATGTGGAAGAATGCCTCAGCAAGTGTTGCATAATCGGCTTTGAAACTGTTGTTGAGAACTTGGATCTGTCTAAACGGACCTTACCGTGGGCTCTTGGAGCTGCTGGTTTGGTGTCTTGAAGGACATTAAAGTTTGGAACCTTTGCAGTGTTTTTCTGTAAAAAAGGAGAAATCTTAATAACTATTCTTTACATCCCCGACTCCAGACTATTGTGCATTTCTTCCACCCCGCTCAAACCCCCAGAAAGATATCTTTACCTTAGGTTTTCTCACTTCCATGCTTTTATTTTTTGCTGCAGAAGACAGCATCCACGGGAGCATCACAGATGTCAAAAGTAAAGTCCTTAATTGCATCATTGTGTCTTAGTAGCTGGCGAGAGGAGAGAGAGCGGTCCGTCTGCTGGGCTGCGATCGAGAGGTTCATGTGAGCAGAAATCTTTTTTTCCGTCCAGTTTTGTGTTTTGTTTTTTTATTAAGCTGCTGCTGAGTGAGAAAAGGAAACGGACTTTAACTCAACACATGCTGTGTTTGTGTTGCTGTCAGTGGTCAGAAGCTTCTAAAGAGATGTATTGTTAATTTTGTGTAGAAAACGGACAGAAAAGTGTTTCTATTGAGCACAAAGGGATGATTAAAATGCATATAGGATAATCAGTAGGTACATGTGATGAACGCTGCTTTTAAACTTGACTTTAGTCGACAAAATAACGTTACTGGAAAGAGAGTGGTCCTGAATTTAAGTAATTGATGGAAAAAAATGGAGTGATTAGTGAAATGAATCACTGAACTGTAGAGAGAGAACTATCTTTTAATATTTCCCTTTTTCAGCTTCATACTTCAGTTCAACTACCAACTCAGTAACAGCAGTTATTCGTGTCTCTTTAGGAGATGGCTGTGACTCTATTTCTGAAGGAATATTTGTCTTTAGTTTGTTTATTAATCGTGGAGGAGTTCTGGTGAGCAGCTGTAATCCCTTTTTCTGCATTATGATAAAACATTTTAGCATTGTAGCAACTGGACAGTTACAAACTGTATCCTGAACAGTTTCCATGAGGCAATGTGTCTTTGTTTCCTAATGAATGCAGGGACCATCGTCTCTCTAACGGACAGCGATTAACATCATTATATGCGAGGTGTCCAAAACTCACATGCTTCCTCTTCCACAGAGAGATAATAAAACTACTATGATTACGACCAGTTATTTCCAAAATGTAGAAAAATAACAATTAGCGCTGAAACATTAGTCGATTCATTAATTAGTGGATCAGCAGATAACTAATCCCCTTTGATTAACAGTCATTCACGAGTCCTTTTTTATGCAAAAACTCTAAACATTTGTGGTTCCAGCTTCTCAAATGTGAGGATTTCCTGTTTTTCTGTCTCATTTCATAACAAATTGAACATCTGTGGAATTTGGAGAAGCAATTTGAAGATGTATCCCTGGGTTTACTATTTAATGACATTTTATAAACTGTGATTCATCTAAAAAAAGGACAAATGGCACTGTTGTCATATGCACTCAGGCAAAGATCAAACATGGAGCCTGCAGGAAATTGTCATAAAGATGTTTTACCTTTTTCTTCTTCTACTGCTTGTGCTATAGGAAGATTTATCGTGTTCAAGCCCACCGATAAACATCCGGATCTGCTTAAGTGTCCTCTAGCAAATTGCAGACTGACCTTTACCTTTGATCTTGCTGTGCATGATGGGAAGCAAAAAGGAGCTTTTCTCACGTATGAAGCGTCTCAGTTATTGATATGTTTCCACACGATTACAACCAATAGGAGGCTTCCAATGTCCTGCCCAAAATTGTTTATATAGTTTTATAATGTGTTTAAATGCAGAAGGCTCTCGTGTTGAAGCAGAATGATAGAAAGGGATAATGTCAATGTTGTACGAGTTTAAAGCAGCTACATTAAGACAAGACAGACAGACAGATAGATAGTTACTTTATTAATTAATAGACAGATAGATAGTTACTTTATTAATTAATAGACAGATAGATAGTTACTTTATTAATTAATAGACAGATAGATAGTTACTTTATTAATCCCACAAGGGGACATTTTTTTGCTACAGCAGCAATTATGGTACAGGTAAATAAAATAACAGAGTAAAAATATGAAATATAAAGTGCACAATATACAATAAGAATAACAGTAAAAATATCAAAAGCACAATGTATACAATAAGAATAACAGAGTAAACATATTGGATGTAAAAATGCACAATATATACAACGAAATAGAATATTAAATTAACTAACTAAACAGTAGTGCAAATATGCAACCAAACAATAAACAATATGCATTCTTTGCTTTCAATATATTTGAATAAATAAATAAAAATCCTCATGTAACCATCTCAATCCAAAATAGATTATGAGAATGTGATGTAAGCACACACAATATGTGAGCTGTTGAGTATCTATGTTATATATTAATGATCTTATTTCAGCCTACAGCAGTGGCTGCATTATGTAAGGCAGATGTGTGGTGAGCAACGAGGAAACAGAAGTGGCTGTGAAGCGGAAGTGGTAATTACTGCCCTGAACGACGACACGGAGGACGGAGGCTGAATTGACCAGAGTGAACGAGAGAGAGAGAGAGCGCGCGAGAGTGAGAGAGAGCGAGAGCGAGAGAGGAAAAAAAAAAAGCAGGACTTAAAGTCACCAATATTGTAAGTGTAATAACGTCGTACTTATACAGAGCGCATTAGAATACTATATATTTGCACGAGGAGCTCAATCTTAGAATAGCCGTTTCATCGTGTCCGGGTTGAAGCCGTCACGATAACGGACCAAGCTCGCGGGGGTTTGTTGAAAGGCAAGTAGGTTAGCGCGCGCTAGCTAGCTGCTAACGCTAGCGAGCTAGCAGCTAACGCTAGCGAGCTAACGGGCGGACGGATTCCATGACACTTTTTGTTCTGACAGGCTCGTTCAGCCTGGGCGGGCCGTGATATACAGCTGTTAGAAAATGAATTAAAACGCCAAAAGCAACGTTCAGACATTGCAGTAGAATGGTTTTATATTCTGTTCATTGTATTTTAAAAATGGATTGCCAACACCCTAACCGTGTATTTATTTTATATATTTTAACAAACGAAAGTCAGCCGTTGGCCACGCTGGCCTACTAACCGTTATCTAGCTACATTAGACGACGCTAGCTTAGCTAACTGTTAGCCACTCCACTCACAAATAACGACAGATTAGCAACAATATAACGTTTTCTAATCCTGTTAGGTCGCTAATGTAAATGGGAGCAAAACAAAATTGTGGATCGGATCAATCGCGTTTACCAAAGCTAACCGTTGACATCAAGTTAGTCGAAATAGACCATGCTAGGAACATAAGGGGAGGGCATTAAAAACCTAAGTGTCGTTTTAAAACATCGTTCCTCAAGCCAGGAACCCGTGTGTGTATCACATTTGGTATCATCGTAAGACGCTAAGACTGTTGATTCAGTCATAATTAGGTTAATGACGGTGGTTAGAGACGAGAAAGGATTGACGAACGCTATCAATCTGACGGTAACGGCAGCTAGCAGCTAGCATTAGCTAGTGATGGTTGTGTGGTTGACCCACTTGCTAATGGGCCCAGTTCGCACTGCTTATCCTCACTTTCCATTGGATGCAGGGTTTCCTGGTCTGCCAGGTCAAAATAAAATCAGTTCTTGACACTTGATGTACAAACACAGAAATGTCCACTGAATGGACAATGTGAGAGCTATCTTGTCTTTTGATTTAACTGCACATAACTTGTACTATTTGTATTTATTTTTCCCTCCCCCAGTTTAGAAAATGGATAAGAACGACCTGGTACAGAAGGCCAAGCTCGCTGAGCAGGCTGAGCGCTACGATGACATGGCTGCAGCCATGAAGTCGGTGACGGAGCAAGGTGCCGAGCTGTCAAACGAGGAGCGCAACCTTCTCTCTGTCGCCTACAAGAACGTGGTGGGAGCACGCCGCTCATCCTGGCGAGTCATCTCCAGCATCGAGCAGAAGACCGAGGGCAACGACAAAAAGCAGCAGATGGCACGTGAATACCGGGAGAAGATTGAAGCTGAGCTGCAGGAAATCTGCCACGATGTGCTCGTAAGGGATTTCTTTTATTTTTTGGCGAATACAAACAGACCCAAATTCATACACTTGTAAAGATAGTGCTTGTGTGTCATTTAGCCTGATTAACACACAACTGAGCTGTTTAATTGTTGTTTTCAGGGGCTACTGGACAACTTTCTCATTAGCAATGCAACTGCTGCTGAGAGCAAGGTGTTCTATCTGAAAATGAAAGGCGACTATTATAGATACCTGTCTGAGGTTGCATCTGGGGATACTAAGAAGGGTAAGTGAGGACATGATCAATATTATGAATATATGCTGTAACAATGTACTTAAAGCTGCATTAATGAATATTATATAATAACAATGGGTCAAAAAGGGTCCCAGAAAGGGTCCCACAGAGCATTACTGTGTAGTCCCTCTCAGATCTGCGTAGCCCAACAATTTATTGTTTGATTCCCTCTCACAACAACTCTTATCCACTTTGTTTCCAGCAACGGCAGACAGTTGTTGACATACAGAGGGCAAGCTGTCTAAGTTGGGCCACATATAGTGAACACAGTGGAGCATTCAGCACCTACAGAGACATACTTTCCTCAGGACATAGTAGTGACTGAAACAGAGCTAAAGGGAGGTTAGGCAGACACAAAGATTACTCCAAATAAATGATGGTGTTTCTCCCTGTCTGACAATACAGTATGCCATTGTTTTTTGCTTGTTGTGCTGCCCCCAGGTGGCCCAAAACATACTGCTTTAAAATGTGTTTTAGTGAAGGCAAATTTTTTGTTCACCCTTTTCTGCCTAAAGCTACAGTGGACAATTCCCAGGAGGCGTACCAGCAAGCTTTTGACATCAGCAAGGGGGAGATGCAGCCAACACACCCAATCCGGCTCGGCCTGGCCCTCAACTTCTCAGTCTTCTACTATGAAATCCTCAACAACCCGGACCAGGCTTGCGCTCTGGCTAAGGGGGTATGAACTGAAGCCTAATGTTATAGTTTTGAAACCGTTAACAGGTTAACTGTAATTTGAATTGAACACAAACATCATAAATAGCCAGAAACCGTGGGTACATTTTCATCATTGGTATCCATCTACCTACCGAGCATCAGTGATATCGGTGAGAAGAGGTGCCTGCGAAGATAATACTCATCCAGCCACAGCCTGTTCGACAAGTATCAGTTGCCGTACAACCAGGATTCAGAGCAGCTTTAGTGTGGTTTTTCTTTTTGGCACTAGGAACTGCATTTCATTGTGCAACCCTGTGTTGTACAATGACAATAAATTAACCTTGTACGGTTATTTTGAGCTATTTATCTTTCAGTGCAGACTAGCTCAAAGAAATGTTCTGTTTTGCATAGTCGGTGCCACACAGTGTTTACAGGATGCTGCTGGATTATTTAAATTTAAATAACAATTTGCAATCTTTGTATTTCAGGCATTTGATGACGCCATCGCTGAACTCGACACTTTGAACGAGGATTCTTACAAAGACAGCACCCTGATCATGCAACTACTAAGGGACAACCTGACCGTGAGTTTTCGGCCCCAGGCTGTTTTTCTTTCCCCCTCCTGATTGATCCCGGTGTTTCACTCAAAGTATACACTATAAACTATAACGTCTCCCTGTCTCTGTTCCCAGCTGTGGACATCAGAAAACCAGGCAGATGAGGCAGAGACCGGAGACGGGGAAAACTAATGGAATTGCACTGTTAATCCACCTACACTCTTATCTTAAACACAGACAGCTTATATACATCCCCCTCCACTCCATCAGCTCCTCCCACTTCTGTATGACAAGCAGCCTGAATTGCTCCTGACCAACTAGTTTACCCCTCTCAGTTCTCTGTGAGGTGACAGGGTGATTTTCAGTTAGCAGATTCAGTCACTTTGTGGAAACATGTTGTATTGATTAGTGAGTCCATGTTGCTGTTGTTTTTGTTGGCGTTGTGTATGTGTATGTGTGTATGTATGTAGTGAGAGAGCAAGTGTGAAAGGGTATGACAGTGTGTGTGTGTGCGCGGTCTGGGGGGGGGGGGGGGGTTGTTGTGAATTCTAATCGTCCTTCCAAATCCCTTTGTCCCAGCTAGTTTGTGCTTTTTATTTTTTTTGTTACTTTCTTATTTGTGATTCCTCATCATGATATTTACAGGTTTTATTGTATGGTAATTATACTGGCAGTTGATTTCCACCAAACACTGTGATGGTAGGCGTTCACAACCCAAAAACGTATTTTTTTTTTTGTGTGCGTTTGTGTTTGAATTTCCAGGCACACGTACAATCCTGTATTAACAACCAACTGCAATTCTGCTGTGGGCTCATACAGAAAGGAGGCGGGCTGTATTGTGACACTGACATCTTGGTGTAATGCTCCTTGATCATGTTCACAAATTCACAGTTTCAAAGTTTTAAGGGACCCCTTAAATTGTCATGTTAGATTTGTTCAGACATTCCACATTATTAGGCTTTCGGAAAGGCAGTGCTCCGTTTTTTTTGTTTTTGTTTTTTTTAATTTTATTTTTTAACTTTAGTATGGATTGTCATTGTAGTTTTACTCACTGTTCAGGTGCTGCTTGATCTCAGTACAATGAAAATTGTATGTGCGTAAATGTGGTTCCATGTATTTTGCAAGATTGACTATCATCTGTATGTAAAACCTAAAGTAACCTTTTATTGATGTTAATTGAAAAAAAAAAAAAATGTCTTACCACACTGTATCAACCCTGCTTGCAAAATATTCCTCTTAAAGCGGTTGTTTTCTCCAACAAAAAAAAACACAAAAAAAAAATCTGTGCCTGGCTTTCTCTTGCAGCCTCTGTGGCAGCATCTGCTTGTTGTTTTTAGAAATCTCAAAGGGAAAGAGCGAGACAAGACCAGCTCAAATAGCTACATCCTGATGTCAGTTTCCACCCACGTGCAGCTCTCTGCTTTTTAAGGATAGCTGGTGTGAATGATCGCCTCAAAAATCAGGTCTATTTTGAAGGGGGCAAATTTGGGAGAAAGTCCCAAGTCATCACTTTTGGAAAGAAGCTCAGTGTCACAATACCATTTATCACCACTACATTCCACATATTGTAGTTGAGAGACACCATTCCACATTATAGCTGACAGTCTGTTTTCTCTGACAACACTCCAATGAATTGAAATAATCTTCTGTTGAGGGAAAAAAAACAAAAAAAAACTTCATGTCAGTTTATTATTATGCTTGATGAAAATGCAGTTAGTGAATGTGGAACGAAGCCTGTCTGTATATCGGGTATCTACTTGCTTTGTTTTTACTGACAAGTCTTATGGCTAAAAAAAAATTGCTTCTGTAACAGTCTATTATTACCCAGTGCACACACGTGGTTGTGAAGATTTTAGAATAGCTCTAAAAAAAAAAAAGCAATGACGAAATGGAGATAAACAAATGGTTGGTGTAATTCTAGCTTTGTGTTTATGTATCTTAAAACCATTCTAGTTTCACTATACATGTAAGAAATAGGAAAGTGTCAAAGACCATTCAGTGAAATAAAGTTTCGTTTAAGATAACAGGCAAATTACGTCTTCTTTTTTTTGTTCACAAGGAAATTTAATATGATTTAGTAGTTCATAAAGACAGCTTGGATTCACTGAGATTTGGTGATAAATTGTGGATGGGCTGTGATTTTATTTAGGAAGAAAAAATAAGATTTTTAATCCTCAATATGTGGGAACTACTTGTCATCGCGGAATGATCACGCCAGTCAACCTCTCTGGCCCTCTCACAGCTTAATTGAAACAACTACTCGCGGAGGGAGCGCTGCAGGTGTTCCACGGTCGTAATTAAACGAAAACAACCTCACGTCGTCCATGTGGAAACGACCCGCTACACTGAGACTAGTAACAGTTATCCGGACAGCATTAGCTATTTAAGAAAGCCGTAAGTAACCTTCATCTTAATCGATTTTTAATCGTTTTTCTGTAAATTGAGAGTTGCCTCAACTGCCGCAGATGTCGGCTAACTTTTAATGTGAAGCAGTCGAAGAAAAGGTGTGACATTAAAGTTTAGCTTGTTTTAACTTCAGCTAGCTTAAGTGTTTTTTGCTAGCAAGTCAGTTAATCTTTTACGATCCTTTTTAATATTGTCACTTTTCTGTAATCATGCCCTGATTTGTTTTATTTAAGTTCGTTAGTTAGTTGATAACTTGTTTAAATGTTTGATTTGTGTCGGGCATTTCTTTTTTTATTTTTTTATTTTTTTTTTTTTTTTAGATCGCGGAACCTTTTCATCCCCCCAGCATTTAGCCACGCCCCTTCTCTCGACATGGTGATTAGCATACTTTATTTTTTTATTTACATTTACTTTCTTAACCACATATGGTAATAACCACACATGGTAATACACATAGTTGGCTAAAAAATATTATTATTATTAATAATAATATATATTTATATAATATAAATGTATAATATATTTATATTAAATATAAAAAAAAAATAAAAAAATACTTTTGACTCGTTGGAATAAACGTGATGGACCAAATAAACAAGTTGTGGTGCACCTCATCGTGGTTCGGATCATATCATGGTTTTGACAAAAATGTGGTGAATGTTTTTTTTTTTTGCCATAGATGACAAGTGCCGATTGTTGAGCCATATAAGCCAGTACAGATGTGTTTTGTTGTTGTTTTGATGTTGTTGTATACAAGGCTCTAGACACATTTATTTTTTCAGCACCTTCCAGAAAAATATTCAATATATTCAACTGTCCCGAAGTCGGTGTAAACCGTAAAAAAAAATTCTAAATGTTATTACTTTGATAAAGTCATCTATAGTGATTATTTGCATTTGAAAAACACAATTTAAAAGAATAGGAAAAATGTTAGCGATTTAAAAAAAAAAAAAAAATAAAAAAAAAAATAATCCTGTTATTAGTAGTTTTAGTTATGCATTATAAGCTGCTTAGATCTAATGTTAGGAAGGTAGACAGGCCATAATAATTCCCTCTCTATTTAATATTGCTGTGAAAACTTCTTCAAACATTATTTATTCGGGTTTCTCTTCAAAATAACATTCACAAGATTACATTTGAACACAAGGTTAGAAGTTAGCTTCACCCATTACTCATAATTTATTACTGAATAAAACATAATGTAACTTAACTGAGCCTCCGTCAGTTAGCTGGTAGCTCCGGTGCTGCTAACAGTACTAGCGTTCCTTCTATTGATTTCAACACGATTTGTTGTTCAAACTTGAAGCATCATCAGGGATCAGTGACTACAAAACATTAATGTTGAACTCACGATTGCATTTTTTTTTTAAACTGAATATTGGCAGAAAAACCTAGTTTAAACTGTGTGTGGGGAACCGTTCAATAATGTATTTGTTCAATAAAATATTTTCTTCCGAGGAAAAATTCTTCGCTTTTTATTCCTTTTAGCTCCACAGGTGCTCATAGTGGATGTTACCGCCATTTTAGACGGCATGTGTGAGTCTGTAAAGGTAGAAATTGTTGCTACGCTGTTTGTGGAGGTTTGCATGGGATGTAACTTTGTGTACCTAATAAACTGACTCCTCAGAGGATATAGTCTGTGTCTCAGCTTGTTCATTTAATACTCATAAAATTCTTTCTTTCTTGAATCAGCTGTCACCCAAGATGAACAGCAGTCCACCATCGTACCCCCTCGCCTCCCTGTATGTAGGCGACCTGCACCCCGACGTCACGGAGGCCATGCTCTACCAGAAGTTCTCTCCTGCCGGACCAATCATGTCCATCCGTGTGTGCCGTGACATCATCACCCGCAGATCTCTGGGATACGCCTACATTAACTTCCAGCAACCGGCGGATGGTAACGTACCCGTTTATTAAAAATGCAATAAATTAAATCGACAGACTTAAATGTTTCTCAAAGTAATACACTGGACCGTGTCACCCACTGTGGATCCACTGCAATGGTCTAGAAATAGGCATGGGCCTAAAACAAGGATTAAAAGATAAATCAAATGTAGAAAAGGTTTTATGTTGTCATGATTTTGTGGGGATGAGACTCCAAATGGATCAGCTGATAGGGTAACGATAATCAGATTGTTCTGTTTTGGTAAAAGGAAGTGGAATGTGACTGAGGGTGTTTCTCAAAGTCAAGGAAAGGATCCTTAACCACTGAATTTCAACGATGCTACAACATTGAATCCCACCGAACGATCGTTCCAATTCTACTGAGGACTGAGTCCTTCGTTTAGGGGACTTTGAAGGATACGCGTGTATCCTACGCGCTCCTAAAACACCCACAATCCTCTGTGTGCCGCACGTTTCCTGTCCCCTGAATTGTAAATGGAAAATATGTTGGTAAACGTTCAGTTATTTCACCTCATCACTCCACCCACATTTGTTTTTTATTTATATTAAAAGCAGTTCTGAAAAGGAGGGTTTTGATTTGTGATTTGAACATGGAAAGGTCGGTGCAGATTTGGATGTGTTTGGGGAGGGAGTTCCAGAGGGAGGGGGCAGCTATGGAGAAGGCTCCGTCGCCCCATGTCCGGTGCTTGGTCCTGAGTGGAAGGGACAAGAGGTTGGCATCAGAGGAGCGGAGCCGACGGGAGGGAGTGTGGTGGTGAAGCAGGTCGGTGAGGTAGGAGGGGGCCTGATTATGGAGGGCTTTATGAGTGAGGAGAAGGACTTTGTATTGGATCCGTTGTGGGACGAGGAGCCAGTGGAGATTCTGGAGAACAGGGGTGATCGCGGGAGTGGGTGAGCAGGCGAGAAGCAGAGTTCTGGATGTACTGGAGTTTATTTAGGATGATGTGCCATAAAGAATACTGTTGCAGTAGTCGATTCTGGAGGTGTTGAAGGCGTGGATCGAATGTTTCATTAATGTGCGCTGTCCCTACCAAATATATAAAGAAAAAAAACAACGGCCCATCTCTTAAGCACACGGCACCCTCGTCAGACTGTTCCAACGCATGCTCTCCGAATGTACAGAAAGAGCCTCGCCTTGCCTCGATGGGACCCGACGAGGAAGGACCCGTCCTACCAAGGAAGCATCCTTGACTTTGAGAAACATGGTCTTGCCTGATGAGTAGTGCTGCTTTATGTCAAATGTAATGAAGATGCTGTTTATGACTGAAGGAGTTTGTGATTGTCGTATTATTATTATTATTATTATTATTATTATTATTATTATCTTAGCGGAGTGCGCCCTGGATACGATGAACTACGACGTTATCAAGGGTCGGCCGATCCGTATCATGTGGTCTCAGCGTGACCCGGGACTCAGGAAGTCCGGTGTGGGAAACATCTTCATCAAGAACATGGATGAGTCGATTGACAACAAGGCGCTGTATGACACCTTCTCAGCCTTTGGCAATATTCTGTCCTGCAAGGTAAGCGGCCTCGGTCGTCCTCTTGGTTACTGACTGCGTGGTTGATCCACTTGTCTTCATCATGATATGTTGGGATGTGTATGAGTAAGGCTCTCATGACAATATTCATATTATATAAAGTATACCCTGATGTGGCAAAATAATACAAAATCACACAAACATAACTGATGATCAGAGCAGTAAACCCATAACATGTAAAATATATTGTTAACACAACAAAGGAAAAGACTGGAGGTATACGCATCTAAAATGTGGTGTTGCTGTGTTGTCAGATGCCAGAATTGACTTCTCGTACATCTGAGATGATGAGCTGTGATCCGACGCTCTAGAGAGCGACAGTATCGGCAAAGCGTTTTGAGGGACGGAGAGAAAATGTTGCTCATAGTTTAGCCTTCTGCGGACCGTCGCGCGAAATCATAAGAAATCAACCAGGTCCACTAGAAACTCCTTCAGCTCAGACTCCAGCGGAGAGACACACCAGACCACCAAGGACAAAAACGTAGATTCTTTTTCTGTACAAAACAAAACCGGCCAACAGCACTAACTAACATGTTTAACACACCTACACTCTGCCCACAAAAGTACCTCATCATCACTGACAGAAAAGGGTCTTTATTGCTGCTACAGTCACTACCAGAAGCAGACAACGCTCCCGTCACAAAGCTGCTGTAGTGATGATGGGAATCGAGAACCGGTTCCAAAATTGTCAGAATCACAGAAAAAGTATCAGGAGTTGTTAAAAAGTGCAAGATGACCCATTTTTAACTCAAAATGCGAGATGTAATTTGCATGTTTGTCTTCGTAGGTCGTTTGTGACGAGAGAGGCTCCAAAGGTTACGGATTTGTTCACTTTGAGACCCACGAGGCTGCAAACCGGGCCATCGGCACCATGAACGGGATGCTGCTGAATGATAGGAAAGTGTGAGTAAACTAAAAACAATCTCAATAGGTTGGTAAGACGAGTACGTTGAGGCAAAGAGTAGTGCAGAATATGTATATATGTATATAAGCTGTAAATTAACACTGGATGACTTCTCCATGTTTTCTTGCTCAGTGAAAAGACAGGTAAACATTTGGATTCTGGCATTGTCAACCCAAAGGCCCATTTTCTGGGTGAAACATGTCAGTTGTCCCTGCTTAGGTCAGTGAATGAGTAGGATCTGTGTGTAGGTCTGTTGTCTTTGTGTGTGTGTTGTGATTTTAGGACTAAAGAGACAAAGTAAGATCAGAAAGTGATGATGTCTATACAGCGAAAGTTTCTCATTCATGATCGGAGGAGAAACATTCATATTTGTTCTTAAATGTTGTCATCTGAGAACAATATTTACAGAAATAATCATTTTTGTCAAACAAATGTTGTTGATGTTGTGTTGTTGATGTTTGTCCTCATTAACGGTCTTTTTGATGCTGTGTGCTGAAGCCAGAGACTAACTTTTATAAACTGTCCCGTCTTTATTGTCCTCTCGGCGGTGGGTTTGATTCTGTCTGCAGCTTTGTCGGACACTTTAAGTCCCGGAAGGAGAGAGAGATGGAGTTTGGCACCAAAGCCATGAAGTTCACCAACGTCTACATCAAAAACTTTGGTGAAGACTACACTGACGAGAAACTCAAGGAAATCTTTACGGCATTTGGTGAGAAAGCACATTTTTGTTGGTCTTTGTGTGTTGCTCTCCTGCTCAGTTTGGGGAACTTCTCTGTGATGGATTGAATGCCACAGCAGTGATTCCCAGGGGATCTTGGGAGACTGTGGTGGGTGGACCATGGACCTTTTAGGGCTGTCCGGGGGCATACTGGGCCTGTGGCGGCTGGGCCTGTGGTGGCTGGTATTACATGTTGTATAAAGCTTTCTTCATGCTCGCGCTTGGCGCCGTAGCGCGATTACAAACACATTTTAACACTTTGCTTATAAGTTAGACTGTTTTGTGCTCAAACTCTCAGGGAGGACTCTCAGTGTGCGGGTGATGAAGGATGAGAGGGGACGCTCACGAGGATTTGGCTTCGTAAACTACGCTAACCACGAGGACGCTCAGAAGGTAGTGTGTGCACCCAGACTCATTATAGTGACATTACAGCAGCTTTGATTTATAGTTTACAGATAACTCAGTGCATCGACGGAGAACAATGAGCCATGTGTTCACCTGTAGTGTGGTGTTGGTGTTGCTCTTTATCCGGTTTTTATTTGGCACGCCGTCTTTTTGCTCCCGCTCATGAAATATAGCATATAATATGTTATATAACTGTTAGTTAACATGCTACAGTGCTGCTAACATGTAAACATAACTACTTCATGCTAAATGTCTAAATACTAATGTCCTATGATTATTAATAATTCATGTAAACTGTAGGTGCAACAATAACACACATACTCACTTATATTAGAGTCCGTATTGTTCAGTACTGTAGATAAACAAAGGTACACGTTGATGCTGCCCTTGTTTCTCAGGCCGTTGATGAAATGAACGGGAAGGACATGAGCGGGAAGATCCTCTACGTCGGTCGGGCTCAGAAGCGTCTGGAGCGTCAGGGAGAGCTGAAGCGCAGGTTTGACCAGATCAAACAGGATCGCATCCAGCGCTACCAGGTGAACGTCTGAAGACATTCTAGAGTTGTGTGTATTATGTATTATTTGGTTTTATAGTTAATATTTGAAGAAATAATGATAAACATTTCAACATGCAGGAAAACATTTATGTAGACATTTAATGCAGATGGGTGAAATGAGTAAACTCACAAAGTCAGATGTGGACTTTGTGAAATGTAATGAAAAGTTAAACTGCATATGAAAAGGACGGAGGAAACGATTGCATTTCTTCCCCCGTCTCTGATTCCAGGGGGTGAACCTGTACGTGAAGAACTTGGACGATGGCATCGACGACGAGAGACTCCGGAAGGAGTTTGCTCCTTATGGCACCATCACCAGTGCCAAGGTAACGAGAGAACACACACACATATAACAGGAAGTGTCAATGTCCAATCATACTTTAAAGGGACACTCTCCTCAGAATGTATCCTCTCAGTATCGAGGACTCTCCGCCTCGTAGATGTACGGTACTTCGAGATGCAGTGACTTAAACAGAGTAAGAGTAGAAGAGCTGCGAGGACGGAGAGGTCAGTTAGCCGCGAGGCTAATTCAGTCTCAGAGCTGCTGTGTGAAAGCCTTATCTTTGTAGAACACACTTGCAATGCGCTGCAGAAGGATGTTATTGTACTTTAGTGGCTCACTCAGATGCTGCTCTCGAGAAGATGCAGGTTTTTATATTAGACTGCTGTCGTCTGGTGTTTAAAAGCACGTTCTAAATAAAGAGTTCAGATTCATCTGACTGTATCAATGCGCAGTAATATTGAAAGTTGAAAATATTCCGTCTACATACAAATGTTAATGTAACCTTTAATTATTCACAATAGTTTAGCAGAACTCCAAAAAGGCCAAACTTCAGTTTTCCATATCTGTGGGTCTCATAATGAATCGCAGCCTTTTTTTTTTTTTTTTTTTTTGCCGTCAAGTCTCCAGTCAAGAGACTGGAGACTTGAAGGCCTGAAGTTACTCGAGTCTCAGGTCTGCAGCTCCGGTGTTGGAGTACTTTAATGGTTTCCTCGTTGGCTGCAGGTGATGACGGACGGCTCCCAAAGCAAAGGCTTCGGCTTCGTCTGTTTCTCTTCACCCGAGGAAGCGACGAAAGCCGTGACGGAGATGAACGGGAGGATCGTCGCTACCAAGCCTCTGTACGTGGCTCTGGCTCAGCGGAGGGAGGAGCGTAAGGCCATCCTCACCAACAAGTACATGCAGAGACTCGCTACCCTGAGGACCATGACGAGTCCCATCATCGACTCGTACCAGCAGGCCGGGTACTACATGACGGTTCCCCAGGTACGGAGGTTTGACCAGCGATGGAGAGGGAATCTGATCTTCATTATCCTGAAAAAGGCTTTTTGATTGTCAGTAATAGATTTATGCATCCAAAATAAATGTCTTGTCGTGATGCGCTCACTTATATAAATGTCTGAATTTAAAGTAGAGTTTAAAAGATGAAAATTTAAGTCAAACCAACCACAATGTGACAGCAAAACACAACTCTAAAATGAAGTCGCTTTAATGGATGACCAACCTCTTGATTACGAGCTGAATTTGCATTTCAGAAAATTATTTTTTACACCCAGAATCTAATACGTCACTTAAATGCACTAAATACATTCAGTTTTGTCAGATAATATTATTGTTTGCAATTTGAGCAAGTTTTTTTTTTTATAGGGAAACCAATTAGTTGTTCACTTTAAGAGTCTTATTTTCTCCTTTTTGTATATAAGGTTTTGCTCTTTAATAATAAAGCAAAAGTATTTCTTGTTCCATACGTCTATTAATCGATTACTAAAATAATCAGCAGCCTGAGACGGTATTAACGTGACAGGAGGAGGAGGTGAAGACGACGCTCGCTGGTGCTCCTCGTCATGTAGTTCATCGTTCAGGACGTCATTTTAACCCTCCGGATATAATGGATGTTTTCAGCAGGACGAGCCAACAGAGAACATCCGTACATACATCAGTGTTTCCCTCTCTCGTTTGTTGGTGTTAGCATCAGATTAAAAATAGATTTCACACTGGATTAATAACATGCTGTAGACGGACAAGCAGCTCTTCCTGCGGGAAAAAAAAAAACGGAATTTAAATTACAAGAGAGCTAATGAAGTAAGTAATGGCAGCTGTAATTATTACTCGTTATAAAACAATCATTACATGTGATAATATTAATTCTGAGCAGGGTAGATCATGTTAAAATGCCCCCTCCCCTAGAGAAATAGATAAAGACGAACTTCACTGAACTTTACAGTTGATTAAGGATGCTGCTGGTGTGATGAGTGCTTTGCTGTCTGATGTATCTGTTCAATAATTACAAAGCTTAAATTAGCTGTGATCCAGAGGTTGACCTGTAATATTTAACATGATGTATTCTCGCAGCCTCCAACTCGCTCCTTCTACAACCACAATGCCGTCAGCAACATGAGGCCAGTTCCTCGCTGGACAGGACAACCTCCCAGACTGCAGGGTGAGTCCGTCATTAGTTATGTGTTCACATGAATATGCAGCATGGATGAATGCAATGTGTGTAAATGTCGCACGTCCTTTTCTTTAGGCCCCTACTCGACCCAGTTTGTTGCTCCCGCTGTTCCCCGACGTGGTTCGACCCCCATCGCTACGGTCAGACAGGCCTCCACTCAGGCTCCACGCATCATCAGCTCCTCGCAGAAGACGAGTAAGTATGACAACACGAGGAACTCCGGCCGTGTGGACGGTAACTTCTGACGCGTGTGACGTCTTTATTTAGATAACATTGCCACGCAGACTGTAGGAGGCCGTACGGACGTGCCCGGTATGACCAGGAGCGGCCAGTACAAGTACTCGCCTGCAGTGAGGAACGTCCAGCAGGTCCTTACTGTTCCTGCACCCATGACAAGAATACAGGTACTGTCGTCTGCACTGCACCAGGACCAGGAATGAAATACTGATCACCGCCGTGTAGCCGTTCTTCAGTTTTCACTGTTCCGCTCCTCAGGTTTTTCCTGCTCCTGTGATGGAGCCACCGGTGCGTGTTCAAGGCCACGAGCCCCTCACCACCTCGATGTTGGCTGCAGCTCCACTCATGGATCAGAAACAGCTTCTCGGTGGGCCACCGTTCAGTTCTGCTCGTTCTCTGTATTGTCCATTGAAGGAACTCGATGGTTAATCCTGTCTCCCTGCTTGTGATGCGTAGGGGAGCGATTGTACCCGGTGATCCACTCCCTTCACCCAAACCTGGCTGGAAAAATCACCGGCATGCTGCTGGAGATCGACAACTCTGAGCTGCTGCACATGCTGGAGACCCCCGAGTCCCTGCACTCTAAGGTATGAGGTGTTGCTTTCTTTTGTCTTGCTATTATACAAATATTATACAGTTGCTGGTACCGAGTCGAGCTGATTAGAATCTCGGGGTCAGGTCAGAGACGAGTGTTTACCCCATCATAGCCCACCTCCCGCAAGAAAGAGAGAATTTTATTTACATTATTTATTTGCTCTTGTTTCATCACTTTTGCACCGTCTCCAGAGTCAAACTGTGCAAAGTCTGCTGGAAAAGCTCGAACTCTGTTCACTTCCTAACGGACTCTGGTGCAGTTTGTTTTGTGGTGTGAAAGCAAACCAACCAACCGCAGGATTGTACATGATAATATAACATGATCTCAAAAGCCAGACTACTCAAAACAACATCTGCTGATCATTAAATCTGTACAGGAAGCGACCTTATACTTGATCTGTTTAAGGCCATGTGTGTGACCTATGTATGCAAATCAACTCGTATGCTCGTCGGTGCGGATATTTTCCCCGATAAATGAGTCAAAAGCTGTTAAAACTGCTGTCTGTGTCCGACTACATGTACTTTGTCAGTTCATTAAGTCCTTTAAAAACTGTGTGTCAGCAAACCCACAGTGATGAGCCCTGAATCATTACAGCACAGCTGTCACCTGGCAGAGCAAAGGTGACTAGAAAAATAAGTGCGTTGAGTGGTCAGAAGACTAGAAAGACGCTTTACAAGTCCATTTACCATTTACATACAGCCAAATAAGACTAATACATCGTATAATCTCTAGGTGTTAGTTCGTGATCTTTAGTGGTGCTGGTAGTCAGACTTTGTCACCTTTACACAGTTTCCGGTGGTTATGCTAAGCTAAGACTCCTGGCTGTAACTTCATATTGATCATCCAGAGGAGAGAGTGGTATGGATGGTGAGACTGGTGTTGCTGGATTATTGCATCTTCTTTGTCCCGTCCTCCGGTCAGGTGGACGAGGCGATCGCCGTCCTGCAGGCTCACCAGGCGAAGGAATGCTCTCCTAAGAAGTGAAGAGTCCTTTCAGGTCAGCAACAACTTCTCTTCCTCCATTTATCGTCAGCGGTGAATGAATCCTTACAACACATGCAGTACAGTTACTACTCATGCTGACTTAATTAAAGCAGCTGTTGGTTAAGACTGGACCGGGTTACCTTCAGTAGCGCAGAACATAACTGCAGTTAATCAATTAAACGAATGTCCTGTTGTAGAAAGCTCCCCTGTGCTCAGCTCTCCCCCAGTCCCAAAAGGTTCAGCAGATCTCTACATCAAGTTATATTGAATGAAAGTTATTGCTCTTTACTCCTAACATCAGGAAGTGTGTGCTGAGTTGCAGACATTAAATGTTGCCATGAAATACTCTAACCGTGTCATTTCTTTCTAGATGTCAACGATGTTCTGGAGGAGGGAAAAAATAAAAAAAAAGAGTAAAATTTTGAAAAAAAGGGGGAAAAAAGTAAATTGAGAGATTTGTAAAGTTAGGAACCATTTAGTTGTTGCGATACCTTTTGTTAGAAGATAAAGTTCACAGTATATGCATTAAACCAGTCTCGTGTCATTTGTTTTATCGACTTGTGCTTGTGCGTGGGAACGGAGTGGGAGCCGGCTCCGGAAGTGCATGTAGAAATACTAAAAGAATCTCAATTGAATGTGTAACGATGATGTAATGGTCTCATTGCTGCCCCTTGAGGCCGCAGGGCAGAACACGTCCACTGGTATTTGATGGTTGTAGTGGCTGTTCTCCCCCCGACAGCCACAAGGGGCAGCGATGAGCCCATTCCTCAGTAGAGAGTAAACCTTCACGAGCAACACCGAAAGGAGGTTTTTGCTTTTTCCAAAGTTGTTTTTTTTAAGAGAAGAGATTTCAAGGAAGAACAACAACTGGTTGGTTTTGCAAATGTATCTCTGATTTACTGTCCACTGTTTTTTGGTTTATACATTTTATTTGAAAGAGCAATGTGTCATTTCATCTTAGTTTTTAGTTGCACTTTAAATACCACGTGATTGTTTCTCTACAGTATCCCTGACATGTTAGAATCAGAGTATCCTTAATCCATCGTCCAGTAAATAAACACTAGCACATCGAGTCTGAGACGACATCCTCTCTGAAGCTCTCCGGTAGGAACATTGTTCTCATTATCAGGTTAATGTTGTTGAATATTAAAAATGTACAAAATAATTTAAATTCAGTTGCCTATTTAGCTTCGTTATGAACTCGGACATGATCATAAAAAAATAACACATGCGAAAGAAAATTGTAGTGATTTGTATGATATATCATAGAAATGTCATAAAAAGTGTAATAGTGTCATTAAAATGTCATGGTACAGTGTGCCATAAAGAAATTAATAATGTAGAATGTCACAATTTCATAGTATATCTATAATTTTCATACTATGATAAATGTCATAGTACAGAATGCAATATAAATGTTAGCCACGCGGGGCTCACCGTGAGCCCTCGCGTCTTTCTCCTTCGGTCTGTTGGGAATAACAGCTGAAGGACAAACTTCGTGACTTTGCTTCTGAAAACATTTGCTGTGAATCTGAAGGCCGGATTCCACGGTTTGCCTACTTCACTTCTCACAGCATTGTTTTGTGAAGCTGAAGGCTGGTTTCCACTGAAGACAGATCTTCTAGAATCATCTTAAAACATCCGCATTGCTTTACTATTATGTATCACCACTAGGAGTCAAGTTTCCTTTGATGTGTGTAAATATAAAGTTGAGTTAACATCACAGGATTCATATCAAGTGTAATATAAAAACATGATAGATTGGTGTAACTTAATGTTCACAAGAAGTCTTAAAACATTTAAATGCATTAGTAACTTTCACCGTCATTCTCAGATTGATGAACTGAGCTCAGCAGCAGACGTGGAACCATCCACGAGTTCATCCTGTGCACATCCTGTGTCCCACAACGTCAGCGGCAACTCCGGTTTGAATCCAATTCAATAAAAAAAACAATTGAAGCGACCAGTGAAGGAGAAACATGGGGTCCAAATGAAGTAAATCACATTTTTAATTGACTGGTACGAGGAACTCCCAAAGAAATGGGACAAACGTAAAAATGAATTGTCAAATTTGCCAAAGTTTATTGGGAGCCTTCATACAAAAAATGAAATTATGGCTGTAAAAAGTTACAAAGGATTATTGTTGACATTGATATACTTTTGGCATTTAAGGCCTATTAACCCAACAGTTTTGTAACTCTTTGTAATTTATTTGAAATCTAAAAGTGTTGATTTAAACAAGCAGATAAGACAGGAATATTTAAAAACATACAGACCAATAGATAACTGCAGATTACTTCTCAGTGGTAGTTTTACAACACAAACCCACGAAAAATTTGAAAAGCAACTCAGAAAAAAAACAAAAACCTGCCTAATATTCAATTATGAACACATGAACTTGAGGCAACTTTTATTACACACTGCCAACTAATTTCATTGAGTCGGTTTCATGACTGCAAACAAAGGTATTTACACTGACGCTCACGAGCTCGTCTCAGACTATCGGCGTGTCGGCATTAGAAGCTGCTTCGCAGTTACCGAGTCGGGGAAAAGGTTGTGGTAGGTCGGTAAGGGGACGTAGGCGGCCGTTATCATTTTACCTGGAAGAGAAAAGGAAACAATGAGCTGTTAAAAACGGGAACACTTTCCTCCACATTCTGATCCTTAAAGGTCACATTTTAAAAAGGATTCAAAAACCAAAACGGAATCATCACAAACCTGCAAACCAGCGTCCATGAAGTGCGTTTACAGTCGCCATCGCTGCTGGTATTGAGGGACACTTCACGTACACGTTTCCCTGTGAGGGAGAACACAAACGGTTATAGAAGACGTCCTATCAGGTCTGTGAACCAACCGGAAGACGGACACCGTGTCCCCTTTGAGCCACTTGGAATGAGCTCATTTGTGTCATTTGGGAGTGAACTTACTTGAGCAGAGTTCTTATCAACGTAGATGTGAACGATTCCTCCGTGTTTGTTGCACTCCTCAATCACATCGTCCTGGATCTCCACGGCCCAGGTGGGGTCGTTCTCCCTGAAGGAACAAGTTTGGGAACGTTAGAAACACAACGGCTTCAAAAGCCTACGTTGTTGGTATTCCTGAAATGACCGTTTACGAGGCCTCTGCAGTTTGTGTCAGACAGTCAATACAACGTATCTTCTAAAAGTAATGCTTTTAATGTGAAACTCTTTCTGTAGCTTCACTCGGTTTCCTTCCTGAGCTGCAGCAGGAGGCCAGTAACAAAAAGTACCATATTAGATTTGCCAAACTTAAGACTGCTAAAGCCTCAGATTAGCTTTGGTTGAACTTCAGGATGCATTTCTACTCAAAATGATGTGCAGATGGATTTTGTTCTTCGCCACTGAAATCGCTTCTTCTTCACAGCCACTTGTGGACAGGAGGAAAACGTACGGAGACCAGAAACTGCACATGCGAGTCTTGTTTGAACCCGTGCAAACGATGACGTCCTTACGATTGTGGGTTGAACAGGTTGGACAGCTGGAGGCAGTGTGTGGCCAGCGGCTGTGACGGGAGGTTCAATGCTTGGCTTGGAGATGGAAGAGCTGAAACAAAAAAAGAGAACGATTAGAAAGATGAAGAAATAATACACACACACACACACACACACACACACACACACACACAC